GTAAGCAGGCAGCTCTGAGGCCTGGAGACGTTTGGGGAGGAGAGAGGTTCTTGCTGCTGCATGAGAAACAAAACTCACCTTCCCTGAGCGTTCAAGTGGGTCACTGGGGGCTGAAGGGACTCTGGAGTTGCGTTCTGCGTTGTCTGCCCCCTTTGGTGTGTCCCTTTGCTGTATCAGGTCACCTCAGCTCTGCTGTGGGCAAGAAGGTGTGGAAGTGGACAGTGAGCCATTTAGTGTCTGCCTATAAAATAAGTTCAGCATTTGGGAGCAAGGGAAGGGTGGCTTTGCTGTGATATCGTGGAAATGAGAGGTTTCTTGTGGGAGGTTTCAAGCGAGTGTATTTGTAGCTTGTCCGGCTGCAGGCGCCTGTGCAGTGCTTGATCAGCAGAGGCAATCAGAGAGCAGGAGCAAGGCAATGAGTTCTGCTTCTCCAGCTCTGCCTCGTCGCTCTGGGCCAAACACTTCCATCTCTGATGAGCCACTTTCCCCTGCCTGCAGAGGCGCTGGCCAGCAGAGTCGTGGCTTCCTCCTGGGCAGCAATGCTGAAGGCTGAGCTGAGGAGTCCAAACCCTGCCCTGCTCAAAGGGAAAGGCCTCTTCCAGAGAAATTGGGGGTCACGATTGGATGTGCCATTAGGGTCTCTCAGGCAGGTATTCCTGCAATTCGGAGCCCAGAGGTGGAGCACAGACACTGCAGGGGAAGGTGAAGTTAGCACTGCTCTCCTCCCGTGCCGGGAATGGTGCCTTGAGGTTAGGGCAGCGTCAGGTATGGGAGGGCTGTCTAATGGCAGGTCCGGGACGAGGAGCAGGACTTCATTCTTGTTAAGACACAATTTCCCTGTTATCTGATCTGACAGTCTCAGGTGAGATCATCACCCAGACAGAAAGGTCTTTCAGCCCTTGGATCTGGGACGCTCAGCACAGCACCAGCCTGTGGAAAGAGCGGGCCACCGGGCCCCTGCAGTAACCTAGTCTGGCTCTGCCATGGGGCCGGCAAGCTGCCAGGCGGGGATCCACAACTGATTTCAAGATCCAAGGGCAGACTGGATCTTGAAATCAGTTGAGCAGCCTGGCTGCCCTTGTCTGCCTCCCAGGTCTCTCCTCTGTTTGCCTCTCCCAAGCACCGGAATAGCGTCATGTGGTTTCCTACAGTGCCGTCATCTCTGGGCACTTGGCCTTGCCTGCGTCCCCCAGAGTGCACAGCTGTGTCCAGGCTGCTGCAGAAGATGTGGAAAGTGCTGCTAAGCCCTGTGTTTAAAATCACAAGTGCTGCTTAATCTTGGGATGTGTCACAGTAAAGGGCTCTTGTAGAGAGTGAAGGAGGTGTTCGGAGCAGCACACTCTGAAGCCTCCAGCACTGGAGGAACCTGAAGCCCTTTGGTAGCCTCAGAAGGCACTAACGGTTTGTGTCGCCCTCTTCTTTCAGTGCTGTTCCCCCGTCACACCAATGCTGCTGCCAGAGACAACACCATAAACCTGATCCACACATTCCGGGACTACCTGCACTATCACATCAAGTGCTCGAAGGTAACCGAGGGGTCGGGGCTGGGGGATACAGCGTAGCTTTGGCCTGTCTAACCTGGGTGCTGCAGGGGAGGAGCATGCGGCAGGGGTGCCCCCCTGAGAACTCGCTAGGGTCTGGCATTGCCCTCCCCAGTCATGCAGGGGTGGCAAGCAATGCATCGTCACCTTCTCGGTGCTCTTTGGCGCAGGCAGGGCTTGTTTGCTTCCCATCTTAGCAGCAAAGTAGGATTTTTCCCTTTCAGATCTGGTTTCCTTTCTTTCTGGGAACAGAAATGAGGGTAATTGTTCAGAGACCTGGCTTTGACCAGGGCTCAGGCAGCAATTTTCACTGCGCCGTGGCTGTGCAGAGCCAGGTGCTTTCCCAGCAAGGAGCAGAAAGATAGCTCCTATCCCATCTCCTGAAGTCTCAGCTATGGAGACAGGATCCTGACCTGTCCCCATTTTGTCCCAATGAAACGCAGGCCTATATTCACACGCGTATGAGGGCGAAAACATCGGATTTCCTCAAGGTGCTGATCGGA